AAATTTGTAGCATCTAATCATGTACCTACGCGAATAGATATTGACCTCATACATATCGGTCAAATAACGTAAAATCTGAAATGTGGGTAATTACCGTAGAGTGTGCTAAACTATGTTAGAATATATAATTATTGTATGTGTTGCAAACTGTATTGTAACACCAAAATAAGTATAACCGCAGAAGCACAAAACAAGAGATAAAAACTCTTCAGGGAGCGTCTCGCTACCCCTTAGAGATCTTTCATTAATAGATCGATTGTGCACACGTGTATAGTTTTGACTTATGCAACTAGAACTCCCTTATAGCCTAACCAACAGTATACTCGATCCTACCAACTACGTCTCTGGCCACAAACTGTGGACTTTACACACTTGCATCTCTCGAGCAAATCAGCACTGTAGCGCCCCATTTGTTCTGGAATTAATTAGAGATTTTTATTGTTATTTATTCTATTTTATTTTATATATTCTGAAATTATTTTATTCGAGCTTGATAATTTTATTTCGACTATATGCTCGTAATTGCTAATTATATTATTTTAAAACCCGAGCCGTATTATGTTAGCAATTTTATTTTATTTTCAGTCCAACCGAAAAATTGATATTAACCGGAACTTTGAAGCGAACGAGCAACTTAGCCGAAATCTGGAACCGGGCCGCCGAAACCCGCGCATTTTTCTCCGAACCCGGCCCGTACCCGCATACTTCCAACCCGCGCACCACTCACGGCCGGCTCAGCCGCCGGTCCGACCCGCCCGAACCCAAAAACCCATCGCATTCCCTCCCTCATCCATGCATGGAACTTAATTTGAATTTTTGAAATTCAAAAGAGGATCCTTATCCCTCTTTTCATGCCACCTTATCCCACCATTCTTGCGTTTACCATATTCTTGGTTGGGAGTTACCAAGACTTAATTTTCTTTTAAGGGAAGGTTGACCCTTCACTCCCCTCATTCATCTCTCTCTCTTTCTCGCTCTCTCACTCCCTCTCTCCCTCATCACCTTCGACCTCAGCCCAGCTCTCCCTCTCTTCTCTCTTGTTCGCCAGAAATTCCCCCGAGCTCGCCGCCTCGCCGCGCGCTCCGCTGCCACCACGCGAAAACCACCAGAAGTCATCGCCCCGCCTCGTTCCTCAGCGCGCGCAGGCCGAAGCCGCCACCGCGAGCCACCATTTCTGATTTTCCCCTCACGGCAGCAAATCCCCGACCACCTTTGCACCTCCGTTCCGCGATCACGAGCCACAGAGAGACGTCACCTACGCCGTGCGAGCCGCCGTTAGACGCCGAGCGAGCCAAGCAGATGATTTTCCCGCCCGTAGGACTTGATCGTCTCCGAGCCCTTCTGAAACCGAACTAATTTATTTCTCCCCTTTGGTGTTTGGTAAATTCCTTTTTACTAAACTTCAAATCCCATGAGATTATGTGTTATATTGCTAGAATATATATATATATATATATATATAAGCATGATTAAATGGAGTTATTTGGATTTGTAGTTATTCAAATTGATATTTTATGTAGTATATGTTTTAGATCTATAAGAATAATTTCGAAAACCTTACGATCTGAAAAGATCTCGTGGAAATCTCTTGGAATATGGAACATCTTTGTGTCCTGATCACAATGGTTTTGACTTTTCTCAATTTATAGTTGTATTTTTCAAGTTATGAATTTTTAAAAATGATGTGTCTGCTGCAACTTGTAAAATGCATGATAAATCGTATTGTTGCCCAAAACTTATGAAATTTGGATATGTTGCTCCTCTGATGTATTTGTGCCTTTTGTACAATTTTCAGAATGTTTTGAGGTCAATTGCCTTAGTAAATAATTATATTTTCAAATCTGCAGAATCTTATAAAATTCATGAAAAATTGAATTCTTGATGTTAATTCATGAAACTTGGTCAGATTTCTTACTTAACATTATTTGTGATGGTGTGAAAGTTCCAGTAATTATTGAATTCATTTTCTTGGATTTTTTGTTAAAAACGTGTATTCTGCTGAAAATTAGAATAATTATCATAATTCTCTTGATTATTGGTTAGGCATGAAAAGTTTATATGACACTCCCAGCATGCTATATTTACCTTCATAAAAATATTAGGTTCAGATTCATTAATTTGATTATTCATTTAAATGCATACTTATTTTTGCTGAAAATTTGTATTAATTTTATAAAATCACATGTTTGGGTGGTAAGACTGAAACTTGGTGAAATTGATGGTCTCAGCAATGTGTATTATGTTTCCAAAGTTCATATCATAATTCGTTCATTTACCTGGTCATCTAGAAAATGAGGATTAATCGCCAATTTGATCGATTTATTTGCTTAACATGTTAACCTTTTGGAATTGGACATGATTTCTAATATATGAGGTTCTATTTTCATGATATATAGGTGGTGTAAATTGTGAGTTATGTGGCTGAGTATATCGTGAGTCTTCAATTATGTGTATTTTTCCCATATCTAGTTCGAGTCGAGTCGTCTGTTCCATAATTCCACGAGAACCTTCCACGAGCCACTTAGTCGACGGATTCGACTAAGTTTGTGTTTTCGTTGGACTAGTAGTAATCGAGAGTTATCTTGATTTCGTGTAGGTGTCCCGAGGTGTTGACCTCAAACCCTACCGCTCGAATCGTATTTTGTGAATTCTATCGCTGCTATCAGGTGGGTTCATTTACGTTGAATCTATATTTATCGCACTTGTTATTTCATATAAATGTTTGTCTCCATAGCTTCTGTATGCGTGAGAACCCTAGTCTAAGTGTCCCGACAGTAGTGCCTTTGACGAATGCATAATCAGTGAAAGGTCGCCTGCCCGTTGCATCTGGGAGGGACGCCCCATGCCGTTGTATCCGGAAGGGGAAAAACAGCTCCACTGTCTTCTGGATAAGATCCTATGCCCGTTGTATCCGGGGTCGGAATGCTTCCAGTTACATCCTCGCCGATGTCTGGTCGGGAGGTTTGTTGTATGTACATAGGAGGTTTGCAATAAGGCCTAATAGGGAGTTAGATCTGGATTCTATGCATACATTATTTATGGTTGTGAATATTTATGCGAGATATACTGTGCGATAATGGTGAGTATGATGGTGATACTCACCCCCATTATTTTTCTGTCCTCTTGTTCCTCTTCCTATCTTTAGGTTGAGCATGGTTGGCAGCGGCAGTAAGAGACGGTCGAGTGGTGGTCGTTGGAATAATGTGTCTTTGCTTCCGTTTTTATTGTCTTGCTAGAACTCTTGTTTTTATTTTGAATGATTATGCTTCCGCTTTGATTTTATTGGTTGAACCGTTGAATCATGTTAAACTATTTGGTTGCTTTTGTGATTTATGAATAATGTGGTTTATTGTTAGAACTGATAGTTATGCATGTATAGGTTCTATTTATTAATTCATAATTGTTTATTTGTTGTCGGTAGTTAAGTAGCGCCCATTAGATATTTAAGTTTTAAAGTGGGATTTGCAAAAAATTAACTCTGATTTTTATAAATAAATTCAGTAAATTCTGTAAAATAAAACGGGGCGTTACAAGCACCTAATCCCTAAGTACTATGATAAAGTATCTGAATAAAAAAATACAAAATAACCAAAGAAAACAAACTCAGTTTATCCATGGCGTAAGAACACTGAAGAACTGAATATCAAACAAAAATCTAAGAACAAAAATTCTTGAACTCTCAATTGAATGCTCGAATGATATCTCGATTATGAAACTTTCAGCAGCCTTCAATTGATTTTCAAGATGAGTATAAGTAGCTTCTCCAATTAGCTACTCATTTTCCTTCAAGGATGATTTCCATCCAAGCATAGTTGTTTAAACGTGGCAAGTAAATATTATCTCCTCTCTCTTCCTTGATCTTCTTTCCAAGCATGTCGATCTTCATCTCCATGCATACGTCCATTGCCTACAAAAATATAACAAAATAAGATCATTCAAGAGCTAGGCAATATACATAATATATAAAAACCGAAAAATAAATCTTTCAAAATTAATTCATATTGCAATCTATTATGTTCCCAAAAGCAACATCCCATCTAACTATTTTGTGCACAAATTAACTAACAATCTGAACAAGTCAATAAGGGATGTAATAAATGCTTAGGTCACCAATTGAAAAACATTTTCTCATACTCTTTTTTTTTTTCAAACGATTGAAACTATATCTCATTCAAATCAATGAAAAAAGTTACAAAGCGGGCAAAACCCGAGCCTACAGAAACTGGGAGGACATACACATACAAGTGATGCCTAACCAAACCAAATACACACTAAAAACCTTCAACAGCAACACATTAATCACTAGCCAAAACAATTCTGCATCTTCTAAAATTAGTCCTAATGCCAAACAGAGAGGGATCAACCAATAGCAAAACCACAAAAACAAAACATACATACATAAGTCTGCCATCACTAGATATAACACAGCACAGGGAGACATAAGAAATGAAGACATAGGCAAAAAAGAATAAGCCCACTGACACTAGATCTAGGCTTTTTTTTTCAGTTCATGCTCATTACTCCAGTGCCTCACCTTTAAACTCCATCCAGTCTCTGTATGCAGCTTTAAGGACCTCTCTCTCTGGTTGCCAGATATGTTCAAAGACCTAAAGATTACGCGCCCTCCATAACCACCATAAAATGTATGTAGACAGTTATATGCGGTCTTGAGAAACATCATCCAAACTCATAAAGCTGATCCACCACCACCAATGTTTAAAAGTGAGGTCCTCTTCTGGCATCCTACTCCACTTCACAGGTGCTAAGTTCCAAATTAGTTTGGCTCTGTTACACTGAAATAGAACATGCTCATGTGATTCAGGTGCTTCCCCACACATTGGGCGGTCTATAGTGATATCTAAACCCCTTTTCTGCAGATTACCTTTGACAGGTAGGATGTTATTAAAACATGTCCAAATAAAGTGTTTGACTTTGGGAAGAATTTGCAGCTTCCAACACCCGTTTTTAGCTCTCCTATTCCGCAAAGCCATCCTGCTACTTTCTGCCTCAGACACTAGACAAATCTTCTCTTTTAAAAGAGAAACATATGCAACATGTACTGAAAATCTCCCCTTATCAAAAAATGTGCATTGCCACATATCATCACCTCTTGGATTGAGGCCTCTGATATTCAATATTTCAGTAGCATCCCTTTCATGAAACAGAATTCTCACAAGAGTTTCATCCCAACACATACCACCATTACAGAGAAGATCCTTCACTTTAAACAAAGAAGTATCAATATTTACCTTAAGAGCAGGCTTCCCCCCATTCAAACCTGGAACCCAATGGTAATCATCAATGCTTATGTTGGCTCCATTTTTTATTGTGACCAGAACATTCTTCTGCAGCAAAGGAATAAGCCCAGACCAAGTATTCCATAACCAAGAAGCACCCTGAGACTATTTGGCCTCAAAAATAGATGTGGAGTGGAAATATTTATGCTTAAGCACTTGACTCACCATTAACTTCTTTTGAGAGCAAATTCTCCATACCTGTTTAAGAATAAGTGTTTTGTTCATCAAAATAATGTCCTAAAAACCAAGGCCCCCTGCAGCTTTTGGTATAGAGAGCTTATCCCAGGCCGTCCAGTGCATATCAGAACTCTGAAATTCCCCTTTGCTCCACTAGAATTTAGCTATCAATTTACTAATCTCTCTGCACACCCCAACTGGCAACACAAAAATGGACATGGCAAAAATTGGTAGTGCATTTATGACAGCCTTGACCAAAACTTCTCTGCTAGCCACAGATAAAAATTTATTATTCCAACTCCCAATCCTGTTACCAACAGCATCAATAACAAATTGAAAAGTATCCCTTTTAGAAGCAGCAATTCCCAAAGGCAAACCCAAGTACTTAGATGATCTCTTAATCACCACACCTCTGAGAATGGATCACAAGCTTGTTTTCACATCATCAGAGCAATTTCTACTCAAGAATAAAGATGATTTTTGTAGATTGACTTTTTGACCTGTAAATCTCCTATATTTCTGCAAAACCTCCAAGATAGACTGAACATGACAAACATCAGCTTTACAAAAAACCAATGCATCATCAGGAAATAAGAGGTGTGTTATCATTGGTCCATGCTTAGACACCTTACCCCCCCTGAAATTACCAGCTCTTACTTTCTGATTAATGAGAGAAGAGAACACCTCAGAGACCAACAGAAAAAGATAAGGGGACAATGGGTCCCCTTGTCTAATCCCTCTGGTTGGTGTGACAAAACCAAAGATACTTCCATTCACATTAAAAGAGAAGGATGAAGAAGATAAGCAAGCAAAAATCCACTTGATGAAAACAGCATGAAAACCCATTTTATACATAATTCTTCTGATACAATCCCATTCCACTCTATCATACGCTTTCTCCATATCCAATTTCAAAGCAAGAAATTTATTAGGGCCAGATCTAGGCCGGTTGAGAAAATGAAAAACTTCATGTGCAATTATCACATTATCCAGCAATAATCTTCCAGGAATAAAAGCATTATGCTCAGGGCTAATACACTCATTTAGCCATTCTTTCAATCTATTAGCCAGCAACTTAGCAATGATTTTGTACAATATGCCACACAAGTTGATTGGTCTATAATTTGATAGAGAGACAGGGTATAAACATTTAGGAATCAAAGTTACAATTGTATGATTCCAATTTTTCAATAACACCCTTGAAGAGAANGGTTTCTTTTGAGTTTTGTATTATTGCCTTGATGCTAAATTGGTTCATAATGCGAAATTGCTAAGTCTTGATATTTGAACTTCCGGTTATGTGTGGAAGCAATGAGGACATTGCTTCATTTTAAGTGTGGGGGAGTCGACTTGGATTTGGCATGCTTATGTGGTGAACCGATCTAGTATCTAGGTTGTTGTGTTGTCATGCATGTGATATTGATGAATTATATGATTTGTTAATGATTGTTTGATGAAATTGGGAAGTTGTGATGACGGACGTATTTACCATTGCCTCGATATTTACTTGATTGCTTTAAGTGGCATTTATTTACCTTGTGAGGTTTTGATCCTTACTTTTCTTTCTTGAGTGATATTGGTCGTATTCTCGAATGATTAGAACTTGCCTTGAGTCTATTTGAAAAGAATCGGTTTAAGTTTGAAATTGCGAAAATGATTGAGGCGTTTTGTTTATTAGCTCGTTTTGCCTTGTTCTTTGGTCCAAAAAATTATATTCCCTAGTAACCCGTTTGAGCCTTGAGCCCTTTCTTGTCAGCCGTACATATAATGAATTTTGTCGATTGATATGCGTGATGATTGGTAAAAACGGAGTCATTGTTGAATGAGGTGAAAATCGAGCTGCATTTTATGCTTGACCAAAATATATATATATATATAAAATAATAATAATAATACATGAGAGCTCGCAAGACGAATCGATTGGATTCTACTCCGCTTACTTGTTATTCATTTCAACGAGTAATGGGCATTGGGAAACCACCTTAGGACACTTGGATGACCTCCAATGTTTAAACCTAAGGAATATTGTCCTTACGATTCGAGCTTGTTCGGAAATAGTAACTCTATAAATAAAAAAAAATTGTAAAGTCAAGCAATATCGCAATTCGATTGGAGCATTTATGTGTTGTTTGTGGAGACATTGGTGGACGGTATGTATGCAATCTTGTTGACTTTGGTCGAGTGGCGGACATTCGAGTATTTTATTACTCGAAAACTTTGATTGTTTATTTGAGCTTCTTGTCCATATATATATTCTTACATTTACCTACATCCCACATTACAACTGGAGAAGTCCTCTTGATTCAAAATTTTTGAGCTTTGATTGATTCCGAGTAATTTAGACGATTGGCAAGCATATGTTGAAACGTGAATATCGACCAATTTTGAGCGTACCTATCACATATCTAAGCAAGAAAATGAGTGAGGCATATATATAATGATCTATGTGTTGAGAGTTTTTCATTTTAAGGCCAAGTCGATATTTGAGGCATATGGTCGTACAGTCGTTGGAATTCGACCCGATTGAGTTAAACATTTTGAGGCATGTCTTATTTGAAATCGTACCCATGTTCGTGTTTTGTTTTCTTTTCTCTGTTCGGGACGAACAAAGGTTTAAGTGTGGGGGAGTTGTTGTGATCATTTTTGTTACGTTTTTCTGTACTATTTTGTCGTTCCTTTTCCCCCGTTTTAGGTCTTTTTGTTAGTTTTTAGTTCATTTTATAGTTTATTGTGTGTTTTGTTCTATTTTGGTATTTTATGTTTTTTTCGTGTATTTTGTCGTTTTTCTACGTTTTTCTTCTTGTTTTTAGTGTGCAGGTCGGAAGCCCCATGAGGAATCAATTTAGCTCAAAAACAGGTCGGGAAATCATGGTTGGATAGATGGGTTCCTTAGCTACACATAGGAAAAAGAGGAATCCAATTTCGAGTTCGGACGAGTCCGGACGGGTCCAAAACGCAAAGTCGCGCGAAACACGTTCAATGTGTAGGTCAAGAGCTTTGGGAGAATATTATTTCAAGAATAACTTGGACAATCAAGCATCATTGAATAGAGGAGTTCGTTAGCGACACATAGGAAAAAACGAAACTCAATTCCGAGTTCTGACGAGCCCAAACGAGCCCGAAACGCAAAGACATGCAGCCCAGACCCCCTAGCGCCGCTAGCTACCCTTAGCGGACTTTAGAGCCTCAGCCATCCATACCCTAGCGGCGCTAGCACCCCTAGCGCCGCTAGCACCCCCCTAGCGGCGCTAACTCCTGTTGGCAGACAAAACTTTCATCTTTTTTCCACAAAACATGGCATGAGTTGGAAAGCTCGGTAGTGGAGCACTTATGGGACAAAACTCACCTAGATATAAGGATTTTGGGCTATAAGAACATGCCCTCTTGATCATGGAAAGAATCATTCATGCATCCTTGAACCAAGGGGGGTTCTTCCCCCCTCTTCATCATCCTTCTAAACCATCCTCTTCACCATCCTTCATATTCTTCTCCATTTTCTCTTAAATTTTTATTTCGGTTTGTCATATTGTAAGAAGGAGCAACTTGGAGACTTGTTGTATCTTGGATTTGGCTTGTGCTTTGTTCTTGACATTGGAATTTACATTACTAGTAAGTTTTATTTTCATTAAGTGTATGATGATTATGGCTTTATTGAATGTGAATGCTTGTGTTAAGTCAATTATGAGTAGCTAATCCTCTAGCTACGGTTAAGGGATAATCATTCCGGTTTGTTCTCGTTTACGTGCATGACGATAGCTCAATCTTGACGAGTTTTTTTAATTATGAATTGATAAAATCATACTCGATAAATGGTTATAACCTAAGAGTGACACTTAGGTTAACTTATTGATAAAATCAAAGAGTGACACTTTGATTTGTGATTGAATATTTATTTGTTGAGTTAGAGTTTGTCAATTCTACGAATTGTGACTTGTAGAACCGAAAGGAGAGGAGCAGTAAAGATAATCGATTTCAAAACCGAGAGGGGAGAAATTGGTGGAATTTGGCTCGTTTAGAGTAGACATGTTCGGAGACGTATTGCCTATGTGTTATTTGTTTCGTTAATTCGCTCATTTATGTTTATCAGCATGTTCGGAGACGTATTGAGGTTAAACCGCTAAATGAGTTAATTAGTCGAGCCTTTTAACCGAGTTATTGATTGCCGTTAAATGTGTGTAGAACCGGAAGCAATTATTCTCGATACCCTAGCTCGTTTATCTTTTTATTGTTCATATTTTTAGGTAGATTATCATACTTTGTTATATCTTAGTTGATAATTTTCCAACCCAATCTTTTGATTAGTATGTTTAGGATTTATTTTGCTTTTATGTGTTATCGATACCAATACTAAATTCCGAACCGTCTTCCTCGAGGAAAGCCCCGGGAAACGAATCATTCGATTCGGTGCTCGGTAAAATAAAAATAATTTGCTACAACACACATCTCTAGATATCAGATGCCAAAAATGCTGGAAAACGGAGGCAGACATACCATCTTCACCCGGTGCTTTATCAGGGATAAGGTGAAAACCACTCCTTTAATCTCTTCATCCCCAATAGGCCTGATTAGCATGGTATTCATGTCCTCAGAAATGGATTGAGTAATATGCTGAAGACAATAATCCCCATCCTGAGAGCCCTCTAAAGTAAAAAGAGAAGAATAGAAATCTGTGATATGGTTGACCAGGCTTCCTCACCTTCACACCTTTCCCCAGTCTCTGTGTGTAAACAATTAATTGTATTCCTCCTCCTCCTTTGAGCCACAACAGCATGAAAGATCTTGGAATTACAATCTCCTGCTTTCAACCATAAAGCTCTAGACTTCAACCTCCAAAATCTCTCCTCCTCCTTGAAAGCTTTATCCAGCTCAGATTTGGTAATGTCCCAGTCCTTCCAATTTTGAGCACCCTCTTCCCCTTTCAACATCTCCAATTTCAAAGTCAAATTTTTGATTGCTTCTTCAGAATTTCTTTTCAGCGGTTTTCTCCACTCCAATAAGACCATTCTAGTAGTCTTCACCTTCTGATGAACCTGGTACATAGGTGTGCCCTCCATCTGACTAGATCACCCTTTTTCAACAGCTTGGCTAACTCCTTCCATCTTCACCCAGCTGCTATCAAACAAGAACCTTTTTTTATTAAACACAACTTTCGTATCAGTATTCAGCAACATAACAATGTGATTTGATGCACATCTGAAAAAATTGGACACTTCTATATGAGGGAATCTACTAGACCATTCCAGAGATGTAAAGACTTTGTCAAGTCTCTCCTCTACATATCCTTCTGCATCCCTGTTATTTCCCCATGTGAAAAATGCCCCTTTCTGCTGAGCCTCTTGCATTCTCATTCTCATAATAAAGTCTCTAAATCCCACAAAACTAGCCTCTGACCTTCTCCTTCCCCCTCTCTTCTCCTCATTGCTTATCAGATCATTCCAGTCCCCAGCCATGGCCCATAAGTTGCCCCATGAAGATTGCCTCTCTTCTAAAAATGACCACTGATTCATTCTAATGACCCTGTCAGTACTCAGATATACAAATATTAACCAGATCCACCCAACCATACCAGGACCCTTTAGTTCCACTTGAAAACAGAACTCATTCCCTATCACAGACCTCACTTCAGTATTCACATCCCACATCAATAGTAGGCCACCTCTAGTCCCTGTTGGCTCTACTAACTTCCATCTATTCTCAAAACACAACTTTCTACAAACAGTTCTAGTGAGCTTATGAGACTTTTTAGTTTCAGATAAAAATATAATATTAGGGTGGTGGATTCTTTTGGAATCCTTGATCTGGGAAACTGTAAAGGGCCCACCCAGCCCTCTACAGTTCCACACCATGACCCTCATTGTTCACACTGGGGCCACTCAATGCTGGCCTTCTCCACCTTTGCTTTGTCCTTTGGTTTTTCAAACTTTGTCTTCTTGCACTTTGTCAGGCTCTCATCACCCTCCATCTCCTCCTTATCCTTAACAATGATTTCTCTGAGTCTCTTCTGGGATAGAGTATCAACAATGGCTTTATCTTCCTCACTTTGCCTTTTTAACCTGCCTGAAGTAGAAGCCCTTCTCTTCCAAGTAGTGCCTTTAGTGACCCTTGCTTCACCCTTCTCACTATCAGCTTGGATATTATCTTTTTCCCCCTTTTGAGTAGTTTCTGCTTCCTTAGTAGTCATTGCATTTCTGGTAGAACTCACTATTACCATACTAGTTTGATCCTCTTGTTCTGGTTCTTCTTCAATGACAGCAAGACATAACTGCATCTCTTCACCTCCCTTATCTTGGTCTAAATCCTTCTTCTCCTCCTATCTGTCCCCTCCTCTATGATTCTCAGTCTCCATCTCAGGCCTTTGTAAATTAGGTTGTGTGCTTGCTTCCACATTTGACCCAAATTTGGAGTTCAGTTGTGGTCCACTTGTTTTAGCACCCGAGCTCCCCAAAAAACTATTTCTCCCACCAGCTGGTATGTCATTAGCTTTGATCCATTCACCATATTGACCATCCGCTAAACTGTTGTTCTCAATATCTTGTAGCCGCTCCTGACATGTTCTATCCAAATGGCCTATGCGTCAACAATAATAGCAAAGATTCACCAACTTCTCATACTTAAATGAAACTCGCACCCGTTGATCCCCGAGCTTCACATTTGTGCACCTGGGAACAGGCTCTTTCAGATTCAGCATGACCAGCAATTTGAGATAGCTGCCAAGATCTCCCTCGACTTTACATATAGTTACATTTTTAACACTCTTAAAAACCCCTTCAATTTTCATTCCCACCTCCGTACACATCCAATTTAGTTGCACATTATACACCTGGACCCATATGTTCAATTCTTCAAAACATACATGGTTCTTTGTTAGCCCTGGCATCCACTCTTGAAGGATAAGGTACTGGTTCTCAAATAACCAGTTGTGGCCTGATGCAACCTTTCTCTTATCATCTACATAACTGAAAATGAACTGGAAAAAGTTAGCACTTAGCTTCTTAACCTCCAAAGTTTGTTGTATTCTCCAAATCGCTCCCATAGCACGCTTGATTCCCAGCAGGCCAGCCCGACGATCCCCCACCACTTTCCCAAATAAACTCTGTCCGCACTCTTCCTCACTTGATTTAATATCATCCAGCTGAATTTCAATGTCACCAGCTTCTTTATCCGATAACGAGAACTTTTGCAATTTCTCCATAACCTCATCTCCCCAACTTTCCCCAGTATTTGCTTCCATCGACCACTACCCCAAACCCTAACAACTCACACACTTTCAGATATGGGAAAATCACATAAACACACTCCGAAAGAACACCCTCACCCAAGGAAATGTAAATCTCAAAGAGATAATCGCCCCGCTCTCAAAGAGAGAATCCCTAAAAGTCCTTTTCTCATACTCATTTTGCAATAATTGATAATTTTTCTTTAACTGATAAACTCATTCCCAAACACTAAAAAATAATTTTGGACCTATAATTTATTTCACATTAGTTTTTACAACTGTTTAATAATATTTGCATATTTAACAACTTTACAAATTAGACACATAATTATTTTATTTTTGATTGAAAAAAATAAATTAATTATAAATAAAAATATGTATTACTTAAATATATTAAACACATATTCCTAAAATAAGCAACAACTTCATCATTTTAATTTAATAATTTAAAAATTACTTTGAAAATATCATATTGTTTGAATTAAATTATCAATAATTCCATAAAATGATACAAATTAAATCAAAATTTTGGTAGAAAATCCATGAAATATTTTACAAATACTTTCATAATTTTTATTATATTATTAGAATATGCACATCCTAGATAAATATATTAATTTCATTTGTATATGTTTCATAGCTTTTTTTTAAATTTTAATTTTAAACACCAATATGTCTTACTACGATCATTATATTAATTTAATTAATTATCATCAACATGTGAAAATATAGTTATAATAATTTAATAAATTACCACTAATTTTTAAATTTCTATTATTTGGACTTGAGTGAAGGATTTTTTGTTGTGTCTTAATGAAAAGAAAATATGCGTTTGATTGGGAAGAGATCCAAAATCGCAATTTTAAGCTGGCGTTGTAGTTCCATTGGACAAATTTACTTCATTTTATGCATTTTGAGTGTCAGTTAGGGTAAGTCTTCTGGGGGATTAGGGCTGAGTATGAAACTCGAAAAATTCCGAACCATTTCGAAATCACTTCGAACCGAAAAATAATCAATGACCGTTTGACTTTTTCCGAACTGAACTGAATCAAAAAAATAATTGGTACGGTTCTGGAGATTTCACAAATATCTATACCGAGAACTTAATCGAACCATCCTATACCGTACCGAACTAAAGAACCGAAGCTAAGAACCGGTATAAAAATAGATGTGTGTTGTTAATATATTTTATGTCAACTTTGACCCTATATAATTTGAGAATTTTTAAAATTCAAATAAAATATAGTAATAACAATTAAGCTTCACTTAAATTTTTTTCTTAAAAAAATTAATACTTGATCTACAATTAATAGTTAAATAAAACAATTAATACTTGATCTACATTTTCCTGTTAAAAAAAAATTAAAATGGAATGAAAGGTTAAAGAAATATTTTTTAAAAAAAAATATAAGAAAAAAATACTTAAACTCTATTTAAATTTTTGATACTTTGTCTTATTCTATTTTATAACTAACATGGTATGGAAGATTAAAAAATATTATTTTAGTAAAAAAAACTCTAATATATTTTGTTTGAATTTTAAATTTTCAATGTTAGTTGCACAAATTTAGTCTTAACTAAAATTTAGAGTTACTTCTAATGTTTATTTAAAAATTAATTTTTAGTATGATGAAGTATTGATGAATGTTGGATTTTAAAAAATATATAAAAAATAAAATACAACTAAGTGGTCATTCAATTTTTTTTTAAAAGTAATTAGAAATCTCTGAGTATCCTAACCGAACCAAACCGTCCTGATAGTCCCGAACCGATTTTTTGGTACGGTTCCGGAGATTGAATTTTAGTGATCTCTGAATTTCGGTACGATTCTAGAGATTTATCAATCTACGGACTATACTGACCCATGTTCACCCCTATGGGAGATTCTTTTCTGTATAGATGGGGCTTTGCTTTAAACTTTTCTAGCTGATAGCACCACCATTCGAACAAAACACATATTTTTTTCGTAATTATAGGGATAGGGCCTATCACGGCTGACCTCAACAACATATAGTAACATTACGCTGAATATTCTCAACATGTATGGGGAGAATAAAATAGAAATGTTTTTTTAGAGACGAAGTTGTATATAAAGGCACCACCTTTAAAACTTTTGCAATTTAATCACCACTTTTTTCTATTTGCATTTAAATCATCATCTTTTATATGTTTTGCAATTGGAGCTGACTTGGCAATAGACGGACTTCTACGTGGCTGACTTGGTACAAACGGAAAGTGTAACGGAAGTTAAATTTATGATTCAATCTGCAAAAAATATGAAATGTGGTGATTTGAACTTAAATAGCAAAATGTGGTGATTAAATTGCAAAAGTTTTAAAGGTGGCGCCTTTATCTGCAATTTTGCCTTTTTTATACGCATGTTTCAAATAAAACTATAAATATACCTATAATTTGGTATGGATATTAATCATTTATGCAATTTTCACAATTTAAAAAGATGCACACTGACTAATAAAATTAGAGCACAATATGCCCAAAAAAAAGAAAAAAAATTGAACACTATCTACTAATTAATTAAAATAAAATTACCACTAATTCAAGTGCTTGGATAGAATATTTGTGATTTAATTAGCTAAAGAACATTTCTGCAATTGCAAAATTATTGCACAAAATTGCTACCCGTCTAAATTTTTCAGACTATTTTGCATTTTTCCATTTTATAAAATCTAATTAAGTTGTTTTGTATTTTGACCAATTATGACTTACATTTTTTTGTTTTCTAATTATCTTTACTTCCGTCCTAAATGGTTAGGTTGATCTTTAAACACTACCAACAGTACCATATGACATATAATCATCATTTCCTTTAACATAAACTAAGAGTATATAAAACTAGATCATTTCATTCTCTGCACAGAGATTAGGTTTAGTGAGCCACATTGTAGTCAAACTATTGGCATAGCAGGATTTTGTCGATTGTACATGAATCTTGAGAGGATTTTTTAATAGGGGATAATTTGTGTTAAGATGTGAAGAATTAATTATGGCTAATAATGAGTGGCCATTTGGATTTTAATTGCATTCATCTTTTTAGTTTGATTACAGTATTCTTAATACAAATGATCTATACAACACACGTATACATAGTGAATATATAATTTTTTCATATGAACTTTTTCATGATAAAATACTATATAGCTTTTCCAAAAGATGGAAACCAAAATAATAGTTGTAACTTCAATTATTTGCTATGTTTCTAAATATTATAACTAGTCCAATCTATAAGCATGCATGGCCGATTCTAATGTCATATACTAACACAGAATTACAAAAACTTGTGGACGTACTGAATTTCCTGAACACGTAATTTCTTTAAATTGTACACATGAATACTTGAGGCACGAGAAAATAATAGGTGGTGTTTATCCATATATGAAGTGGAATAACTAGTGCACAGAAACTTAAAATAAATTTTGTCATACGTTATATCAAATGAGTGGCCACCAACAATAATTTGGTGGGCCTGTAGGAAAATAATAAACATTAACAGAGACGTACGAACTAGCTTTCACCTTAGCATCTCCACATTTTCGAATCACACACTGAATAAGACATATATAATTTTAATTAGGTACCAAAAATTAGATACACAAACACACACTTATATACATAATAGACATATAGGTCTATAGACTCTAGGCCGGCGCTAGATTCGCCTAAACTCAGTTCCCAATTGAGAGGAACAAGAAAAATGAATTTGTATACATATCCATATATATATAGTAACTGTTGTGTGACATCTATACTTATATTAGAAGGTATATTATTTACCAAATTTAGTATAAAGAAAAGTTAACAACATTTATTGCATTACTATTTCCGTATTATACAATCTATACTTATATAAAAGGAGATTCTATTTACTACATTTACTATCCAGAAAAATCAACTGCATTAAATGTCATTATTATTTTCGTATTATAATATTTTATTTATTTATTTTATTTTAAAAAAGTAAGTATAATAAAAAGATTTTAATAATAAAAAAATTAAATATCAAATAAAAATGTACATTTTGACTTATTTGATTATATTTGATATTTGATTATACCAAATATATTCCTATTTAGCATATACATTAAATACTTACTATAGTATTTATTTATTTTATTTGTCAAAGTTAAGTATAGATTTGTTTATATTATCAAATCATAAAAAAATATTAAATCCATATTGTAAAAAAAATCATATAATTTTATAACAATTCTACTACACTATTTAACAATATTTTTTTTATTATATAATATAATAAAACTTATAATAACTCTATTGTTTTTTAGACTTAAACGTTGATTAAAAGAGGTAAAAATTCCTAATTTTTTAGACTTAAACGTTGATTAACACCATAGATTGAAAGTTTATATTTAGTAAAATTCCTAATTGTACTAAAAAATTAATTTTTGCTATATTTTAGAATATCTTTAAATTCATTATAAAAAAAAAAGAAAAAAAACTACAATGAAAAAAGCAAGTCAGCTATATATCGAATTGTTGAACTCTTCCAATCACATTCACAATTTGGCTACAAGGAAAGGAAACTCATTGATTAAAATATTATTTTGTCAGTAGTCTTAATGTATAAGAGACTTTAAGACTCCACTTGAATATTATAAAACTTTTATTGAACATTGTACAATTTTCTTGCGTATTATAAACTTTATTGAATATTGCATATTATAATATAATATTCTCCAAATAAATATATCTCGTGCTTTGCACGGGTCACGTACTATATATATCTCGTACATTTTTCTTTATTCATGTGTATAATTATAAGCCTGGATAAATAGCCTTAAAATTGTGCACCCCGTACATCGCACGGGCTCTGTACTAGTTATTATTATTTTCGTACCCATCATAGTTTTATTCCTTAACTAGGAATCAATTATTTATTTATTAGTATGCATATGAAGCAATAGGTTATCTAACATTTTTTTTTTTTTTTTGCAAGAATTACAATATAATATATCTTCATACTCTACCAAGCAAGAAAAATAAAAGACGACACCTATTCTGTCTATAACTTAATTAAATCTAGATACTATTGGTGTAATTGGATATGGATATAATTGGTTTTTTGTTGGTACTTTTGTTAATTATAGTTAATTTTAGAAAAGGTGATATAGTTAATTGTTAGAAAGAACTAAAGTTAAATTAAAATAATATTTAAAATAAAATAATTTAAGTTGATTTGGTGTAAAAGTATGAGTAAAATGATTGGTATTGACGGTTAGTTAAAATTATGTGAGTGGATGAATAGTGAAATAAATTGATGTGATGTGTAAGAGTGATTGGTTGATATTATATTGATAATATTGAGGATAGTAGAATTGGGTTAAAGCTGCGTTAAATTTGAGTTATGATTGATTTTTCTTAATTAAGTTTATATCCAATCACACTATATATTGTTAAGTTTGGTAAGTACGTATTTATATTAGTATCTAATAGACTTTATTTATATGAAGTTGTTTTTACCATATTCTTGTTTTGATTATTTGTAGGAACATCGCAGATTTAAGGAATAGAAGAAGTTGGTCGAGCTAGAACGCATATTGGTGTAGATTATTATTATTATTATTATTATTATTATTATTATTATTATTATTATTATTATTATTATTATTATCATTATTATTATTATTATTATTTATTAATAGATATCTTGGAGAATAAGTTAGGAATTAATATTATTATAAGAGATCTTGTCTTATTGGACAAGTTAGGAATAGGGTTTAGGAGTCTTATTTAAAGGGCTCCTCATCTATTGTTTTATTCAGTTGATTATTGAAATGAAATAAGATTTGACATCGTGTTTTGGTGTTCTTGAGATTGCGATCTCATTAATATTGTCACACTCGTACGCTTCTTTACATCAGTTGGTATCAGAAATCAGCACAATTCCAGATGCCGCCGCAGAAGGACGACATCGACGGGAGTGACGCCACCATTGAGTATCCGGGTCGACAAGCCACGAGCTTCGGCCGCCAGATCAATCAATTGGATCATCGAGTTGAGGATCTTTCGACGGGATAGAAGAAGTGTGTCTTACGGTAAACAACGTGGTTGAGGATTTGCAGACGAACCGTGACGCCGGCAACCGGAGCGTGCGCGGAGGAGTTCACGGAGGACGTGGAGGCCGTGGTCCGGGCGGGGTGCCCCGTCGAAGATCTCCACAACCACCGTCCGGCGAGGAGACAGTCTCGGAGGTGAATTCTTTCGACGATTTTCCAATCCCGCACTTCGAGGCTAACCCCTTCGCTGCATACGGTGGCCGTGACATGCGGCGATGGGACGGGTCTTCATGGACGGTGATGATCAACGCGATGATAGAGGCAGGCGCGAGGAGGCTACCTTCGCCGGCGGATATCGTGCCCGACATGATTGGGGACTTGATCGCGAATATGGTCAATGGGAGGACCCCTTTCGCGTTGACATCCCCGAATTCGACAGTGAGCAAGTTGACGGGCCATTGTACGACGGTACGCTGATCCTTGATGAAGAGCCTTCAGTGACGGAGAAGAATCTTTGCGGGTACATGGGAGTCGATGAGAATATTAAATATTGGGATACAGAGACGGGGCAAGTGATATCAACTTTCTCGACTGGAAAGATCCCTTATGTAGTGAGGCTTAATCCAGATGAGTATAAACAAAATGTTTTGTTAGCAGGAACGAGTGGTAAAAAGATTGTGCCGTGGAATATTAAGACAGTTTGGGAGTTTGGGATTCTCGTGGAATATTAAGACAGTGTGGTTATAAAGTATGTTAGTTAGGGAAGGTGCTGCAAAGTGTTTAGGACTTTCAAATGTCATGAGTGGGCGACATTCAACCTTCGTGTTCGACCGGGGGAAACAACGAGGGTTTCCTACCATGGGTTCGACACCACACGCCGGTCATGGGAGCGCATCGGCTTCGAGGGCGAAGCCTTCCGAACCGGTGGAGAATGGTGTAGATTAGTATTATTGTTATTATTACTATTATTATTTATTAATAGGTATCTTGGGGAATAAGTTAGGAATTAATATTATTATAAAAGATCTTGTCTTGTTGGACAAGTTATGAATAGGATTTAGGAGTCTTATTTAAAGGGCTCCTCATCTATTGTTTTATTCAGTTGATTAGTGAAATGAAATAAGATTTGATATCGTGTTTTGATGTTCTTGAGATTGTGATCTCATTAATATCGTCCCACTCGTACGCTTCTCTATGAAGATATCGATTTCTTTATTGAAAGGTCTCAGCCACATCTTAAAGATTAAAAGAAGAAAGGAAATCGGCGTTTCGAAGACTTTTTATCTTGAGGAGATTGTATATAAGCCTACACAAAGACTCAATTGAGGGTGCATTAATCAGAGTTTAAACTATTCTTAGACTTCATCGAGTGTTTGTGAGTTCTTTAGTTTTTTGAATTTTATTTGATTCAGTTTTTCAATATTCTTACATCACTGAGAACTGAGTTTGATTTTCATTTACAAACACTTTCTGTACTTAGTGATTAAATACTCGTATAGTTGGCATAGATCCATAGTTATTGTGAAGTCCACGTTTGTGGCCAGAGGATTACTTAATAGAGTTTCGAGTATAGTTTTGGTTAGATTTGGAGAGAGTTCGCGAGTCGTGTAAGTCCAAACTGTACTTTGTGCTGTCAAATCAATCTATTGATGAAAGAGCTCTGATGGATAGTGAGATGTTTCTCGAAGAAAATTTTGAATTGTTTGCTTTCACTTTTAAATTCCATGTTCGAACACACTTCTCGTACTCTGTTATCTCCCCTGTTCGTTTCAAGTTATAGGCTACACCGATATTAATTTAAGTAATTGTTGATAAAATTTTAAAACACATAATAATCATTCAAGCATTTATTTCTGATTGTTGCCTTAACTCCTAACTAGTACGTAGCTCGTGCGATGCACGGGGCAATAGTATAATGAAGGAATATTAAATAGTATAAAATAATTTAAATATTAATATTTATTTTTGTATATTATTTTACTTTTATGATATATGATAGTTTAATATTAAATTTATATGTTTATATAACCTGTTATAAAATAGTTGTCACTTTATTTTTTTATAATCTAATAATTTGCATGATAATGCGACAAATGACCCTTTATTTATTATTTTAATATGGTATATACTTGATCCTCAAATAATTGTTTACTTGTATTTTTATAAATTTTATGATTATTTATTATAAACCGTGAGAGATAAACATAACAATTACAATTTTATTTATTTTATACTAAATCCATTTATTTATATTTAGTATGAATAATTTGAGGCTAATTTCTTATTTTAAATTAATGTTAAATAAAAAATTTAAGTTCATTTTGTATATGCAATATTAAATAATAAACTTATTAATATCCTAAAAATAATTAATTTTTATTTATAAATACAATATGAATATCAAAATGAAGACCCTAAAATGAAGATTAATTTAATCTTATATATAAAAAACCGATAACAAATAAATACATTATTAAGTTTTTTAAAGGAAATGATATCAATAATAATAATAGTTAAAAATAGAAGAAAAAAAACATGCAACAATATTAATGATATATTATATTCATATCATATTTGACATACTATACCGAAATGAAATTGGAAGGAATTTATCAGATTTTAATTTGTGGTGTAAAAATAATAATGATTTGGACATTAGAAAATAATTTTAAATTTAATTGTGTTGTAAAATAATGAGGAAAAAGTAAAAGCCGAAAAAGGTAAAAGATATTCTTTTCATTTGTTTTGTCAAAAAAAAAAGTAATTCATTTTAAGAGGAACAAATTTGTTAATAAAGAGAAAAAGTAATGACAATTGTAGGGTTAAATCTATTTTGAAATGATATACGTGATTTTCTAAGAAAAAAATTGATGTGAATATATTTTTTTTTCTAAAGTTCACTTATAATTTATAAAATTCATTAAATACAAACTCAATGTATTTAATTAAAAAATCATCTTACTAATTTAAATTTTGCCAACAACCTCTCTCAATATTTATAGATAGATTGAACAACATAATTTTTATGGACCACACATTTAAGTAAGAGAAAAGAATTTCAATGAAAGTGTATATTTTAGAAACAAAATCAATCATCCATATATATATTGTCGTCCATATTAATGAGATCACTTTTGAATAATGAAAAAAATATAGTATTTCTTTAACTAACCGTAATTGTAGAGTGGAGATTAATTTTTCACTTGAAATTCGGGCAATCATTCAACTTGAAATGCAGACATCTTTCCCAGATTCAAAAACTTAAAATTCATTATTTTTTTTTACAAATACGGGAATTTGAAATTTAGAAATGAAAAGATAGTAAAATAAATTTTTAAAAAAATCCTTGATTAGTAAGTCAACATCTTAAAATCAAAAAGTCAACCTACTATTTATGAATTTACCATCAACCTCTTTCAATATATATAGATAACAATATACGAGTTAAAAATATATTTTTTTGAAATTATGGTACCGAAACTGAACTAACTTTTGTATATCTTGTAAACATAAAATTAACAATTGAGCTTTTGTCATATGGTTTGAGGTTTGAGTTGCGAATCCTAACAAAAATAAAAATAAAAATAAAAATAGAAAANTTTTGGAAAAGTACATTTTTCAAATGAATTTTTCTACATTTTTTTTTTCAAAACAACATCACGGAAGGGTGGGAGTTAAGGTCAGACTCTCAACCTGTATATATAAAAAAGACCCGACATGGCCTAAATAGTCATTAGGGCTGAGCATGGGACTCGGAGAATCTCGAACCGTTCCGAAAACTGAACCAAAATCACGCCGAACCGAAAAATATCCGTTAACCATTTGACTTTCTTCAAACCGAACCAAACCGAACCGTCTCATACCGTACCGAACCGAAGAATCGAAACGAAGAACTGAATTATAAAAATAGATGTGTGTTATTAACATATTTTATTTCAACTTTGATCCTATATAATTTGAGATTTTTTAAAATGCAAATAAATATAGTAATAACAATTAAGCTCTACTTAATTTCATGCTTAATAATACTTGATCTACACTTGAATTTTTCCTGTTTTAAAAAAAAAAAAAAATGGAATGAAATGTTAAAGAAATATTTTTTTAAAAAATATTTAAACTTTACATAAATTTGTCGATACGTAGTCTTATTCTATCTTATGACTAACATAGTATGGAAGGTTACAGAAATATTATATTAATAAAAAACTTTATTATATTTTGTTTGAATTATAAATTTTCAATATAAGTTGCACAAATATAGAGTTAACTAAAATTGATTTAAAATAAAACCTTTAGTATGATGACGTATTGATGAATGTTGGATTTAAAAAAAATATATAAAAAGTAAAATATAACTTGGTGGTCATCCAAAAACAATATAAAAATACTTAAAAATCTCCAAATATCCAAACCGAACCGAACCGTTCAGATAATCCCGAATACTGAACCGAACCGAATCGAAAAATAAAAATCTCCGAACCGAATTTTTGGTACGGTTTCGGAGATCGAATTTTAGTAATCTCCGAATATCTGTACGGTTCTGGAGATTTATTAATCTTTGAACCGTACCAACCCATGCTCAACCCTAAGTCATAGGTCTACAAGTCCAAAGTCCAAGATACAACAATCCAAACAAACGAAAAAAAACAATCAAGGAAAAGGGGGATAACATAACAAATGACGTAAAAATATCAGAGCCTGGTCCGAGAAAAGTTCAGCCGAAAAGTCATCACCACGAGTGAGCAGAAGCACCAAAAAATGGGGGCGACTACCTAACTCTGAACGATGGGCAGCCCATCTAGTCCATTCGTGTAAGGTACGAAGTCGGAGATGAACATCGTCAGCAGGTTGGAGGTCCCGATGCAGGCAAGGAAGTCAGCAGGTCGGTTCCTCTCACTGAAGATGTTTGAGATCCGATAGCGAATGGACCAAAGAGTGGCTCTAATACGCATGGGTGGATGCTGAATTTGCCACGCCCTGATGGCCAGAGGTCAAGAGTGTGATGACAGCGGCAACGTCCAACTCTATCCAAACGTGAGAGGAGATCGAGGCAGCAAACTGAAGACCGATCTGAAGCGCCTGAACTTCCGCGTCATAGCTCGAGGAGGCCCGAAGATGGGATAGAAAGCGGTAATAAGAGCACCGCTATGATCCCTAATTAGGCCTCCACCTCCGATGGCTCCAGCAAGTCGGTCAAATGATCCATCAGTGTTTAGCTTAACCCAAGGAGGCTCGGGTCTCAACCATGATTTTTTTTTACTAAAAGAAACTTTTAGAACTTTCTATAGGAGCACCGCTAAATGTTCCTATAAAGAGAATTTCTTAGAGAAACAATTTATCTATTAGCATAAACATGAATATTTATCTAAATGAACTTTTGCGTTTGAAAGCTTATGCAAAATGTATTTATGCAAATGTTCTCATCCTATACTGTTTTCAAGAAACAATTTATTTGTTAGCATTGAACACGAATATTATCTAAATTGACTTCTACATCCGAAAGTCGATTTGAAAAGTGCTTCCAAACAAATTTAGGCTATGTTTGGTAAACAAAATAAGCTAGTTTATAGCTTATAAGCTCTCTATATTTAAATAGGCTTCATTTGATAGGACGAGTTTTTTTAAAAAGCTCGAGCTTATACATAAGTTACTTTAGATAGCTTTTCAAATAAGTTGGTTGAATTTTTTAATTTAGCTAGCTTATCAGCTAATTTTACCAAACACTTTTATCATATAAGCTAGCTTTTCAGCTACAAGTCATAAGCTATAAGCTAAAAAATTACATATAAGCTATATGCTAGCTTATCAGTTAGTTTTACCAAATATAGCCTTAGCTCATATACCATTTATCTTCTTATTTGTTGTTATTTTTATTATTTATTTCTAAACTGTATTATTTTCTTGTTTATGACTAGTGTATGAATGATTTATGCACTTTTTATTTA